GAAATTGAATTAACCTCATTTTATCACGATATTCAATGTACTTCCCAATATCAGCAGTGTCATTGAAGGTTGGTTCTGAGAGAGCAAGCTGATCCCAAATAGCCTCCATCTTAGCATAAAAACTAGTAATAGACTCTCCACGTTCTTGTTTCAAATTGTGTAACTCTTCCCACAATTGATATTGACTGGATAAATCAGAAGTGGTATACCTGGCTGCAAGCAAATCCCACACTTCCTTAGCTGTTTCATACCGTCCAAACTGAAGGTGAATGGAAGGAATTGAGATGTTACGAAACCAAGTGATGATCTGATGATTTTTGCTATCCCAATCCTCCAGACGATCAATATACTTCTTATCTGTCTCATCAGTAACTTTCTGTGGAAGGGTAATGTCACCAGTAATATACCGCCATAATTTTCGACCCTTCAAAAAACTGCGCATACTTTGAGCCCAGAGTATGTAATTTGAGCCATTTAAAATGGTTGAAATTGGCTGGGAAATATCAGATTTTTCCATAATAACAAAAAAATATGCTGTAAATAAAGGAAAATCTGACCAGGCAAAACACCAATTTCGGAAGATCTGCACAGCGGTAATTTTGGCTGATTTATAGCTGATCTACAATTCCGGACAATAGAACTGAATCACCGTGAAAAGTAGTAGAAGAAACAACAGCAATCACGCGAACCGATATATGGCTGGAAACACGCGATGCTTGGCAATCTGCAATTCTGGAAAATCACCGTGAAAGATCAGAGAAAACCAGTAGAAGAAACAACAGCAATCACGCGAACCAATATATGGCCGGAAACACGCGATGCTTGGCAATCTGCAATTCTCAAGAAGAACAACAGGCAACAAAGAGCTTAGAAAGCTCTGATAGAAGAACGACAGGCAACAAAGAGCTTAGAAAGCTCTGATACCATGTGAGAAAATAAGCAAGAGAGAAAAATACGAAGAAAATACTTTTCTTGATTCATTTGAATATACAAAGTACCTATTTATAGGCCTGTACAAGGGAATATTCTATGGTACAAAATCAATTAATCTAATTATGTCAATTAATTATAATTTGAATATAATCATAACAATGTGGATATAATCAGGGAGAATATTCTGTAACAATATCGATGAGGTGTGTTGTTGATGTTGATCAGTGGGGAACAGAGCAAGTGGATGGTGTTGCTGCTGGTGGGTGGCCGGGGAGTTTCGCTGAGCTGCTCGCTCGTGTTTGTGAGCGTTCTGGTGCCCGCCGAGCGCTTGAGGGGAGTCAAAGAGCCTGGAGCAGTGGAGACAAGGAAATCGCGGACATGAGATGATGGGCGGACGAATGTGTTCCGGCCACACGTTAAAAACACGGCTGCATGGTATTGCTGCTGATGAGTGGCCGGAAAGGTTCGCTGAGCTGCTCGCTCGTGTTTGTGAGCGTTCTGATGCCCGCCGAGCGCTTGAGGGGAGTCAAACAGCCGGGGGCAGTGGGGACAAGGAAATCGCGGAAATGAGATGATGGAAGGAGCTGCTGCACGCCTGGCGGGTTTTGCACGAGAAGGCAGGTTGTTCCTTGAGAGGTCTGCCATGTTGGAAAGTTGTAGATAGGCGAGGCGGAGAGGCGGAAGAGTTTATTTATAGTTGAGGCAATCCGATCCATTTCTTTTGTCTAAATAACCCTGGTTGAGTTAAATAACCCTGGGTTATTTAAATTGTGCAAAATCAAGCCCGCCGAGCCTCCGACTAGGGCTGGCCATGGTATGGCACCATTACCATATTGCTCTCAAATGATGGTAATTGTTTTAAGTGATAATGAAAAAAATTTATCACTTTTATACCAATTGATAATTTTTGGGTAATGGCTATCAACCATTTTTAATGGTAATGAAACTTGTCTTACCAATATCATCCCATATTACCATCTTTAAATTTGTTTTCTTCATTGTCAATTTCAAGTCATTCAAAATTCAATCTTAAAAGTTTAAAATTATTTTCAAAACTTATTTTCTCCATACCGTTCTTCATCATCTTGAAGCATACAAATATATAATTATACAAGACATGCACACATAAAAAAAAAAGAAAAAGAAAAAAGAACTAGCAACAATTGAAAACTGTATAGAATAAAAAAAAAAAAAAGAGGAAAAAGTGAAGAAGGTTCCCGATCTTTCTCTCCTTGGAGCCCCCTCCCCCCAATTTTGGCCATCACCACCATCCGCATCGTCACCGTCACCACCATCATTATCATTGACCATCACCTCTAGCTTCGATCTCCATCTCCAGCAACTGTAGGTTTCTTCATCCATCTTGCTCCATCGCCGAAAATCCATTTTCAGATCTACTTGTCTCCGCCCCGTAACAGCTGCAGGCCACAGATCTTGGGGTTTTTGAGGAGTGGCAAAAAGAGAGAATTTCTCTCTGGCGAAAGAGAAAGAAGTAGAGGAAGAAAGTTGGGCAGGATAATGAGATATTACCATTTATATTGCTGAATTGTTGGCAAAATTACAAAAATTGCCACCGTTTTAGGAAAAAAATCATTAAAAATATTCTAAAATTGAAAAAAAAAAAGTTTTGGACTAGTGGTAAATTTGATAATTTGAAGGCCCATAGGGTAAATATGATAATAACCTTCAATACTAATCTCATACCACAGATCTAAATGATATTATCATATTATCATTTAGACTTATCATATGATAATTTTTCATACCGTTTTCGTTGGTAATGAAACGGTATAATGGTAATTGTGACATTTATGGTATAGTGACCAGCCCTACCTCCGACAATTGATTTTTTGAAGTGATTTTGCGAGCTTGACTTTATCGACCCTTACCTTATTATACAACGAAACACAAAATACAAATTATCTGATGCTAGCGAAAGACAAAATACAAATTTCTATCGCTCATCTCCAACTTTCCAATAACGAATTTAATATGGAATTGCAGATAATTTAACAACTTTCCAATAAACGTTCTCCTTGATACTGATTTTGCTGACTCTAGAAGCACCTCTCACCGCCACCCACGTAGGTTCTTAAAATGTTTTTTTAAGCTTAAAAAAAGCATATTTATGCTTTTTAAAGATGCTTTTTTAAACCATTTGTTAACAAATCATTTTCAGTATCAAGGAAAATGATACTGAAATGTAATAAGCTCAAAACTAAGTCAATATTATTTGACTTATATTTCACCGCATAAGCAATTGAAATTAATGACAAATTTAATGCATTATTTTAATTGTAAATGTGTGGAAAAAGCTAATCTTATCATTTTGTCATCTCATCGCTCAACAAAGTAAACTTTATATAACCCAGGGTTATTTAACTCAACCAGGGTTATTTAGACAAAAGAAATGGATCGGATTGCCTCAACTATAAATAACCCATCCCGCCTCTCCTCCTCCTCGCCTATCTACAACTTTACACCATGGCAGATCTCTCAAGGAACAACCTGCCTTCTCGTGCAAAACCCGCCAGACGTGCAGCAGCTCCATCCATTACCTCATCTCCGCGATTTCCTTGTCCCCACTGCTCCCAGCTGTTTGACTCCCCTCAAGCGCTCGGCGGGCATCAGAACGCTCACAAACACGAGCGAGCAGCTCAGCGAACCTCTCCGGCCACTCATCAGCAGCAATACCAAGCAGCTGTGTTTTTTAACGTGTGGCCGGAACACATCTAGCCACCCATAATCTCATCTCCGCTATTTCCTTGTCCCCACTGCTTCAGGCTCTTTGACTCCCCTCAAGCGCTCGGCGGGCACCAGAACGCTCACAAACACGAGCGAGCAGCTCAGCGAAACTCTCCGGCCACCCACCAGCAGCAATACCATCCACTTGCTCTGTTTCCCCGCTGATCAACATCAACAACACAACTCATCGATACCATTTCCCCACTCTCCGGCCGTTTCGACTACTACTACCAACGCTCTCTCCCCTACCACGGATATGGATGGATTCTTCTGCCCATATTGACCTCGCCCTCTGCCTGTGAAGCAACGCGTTTCTCTTTCTCTTAACTTCTTTCTTTTTTGTTTTTGAAAGGAAGTGGAATAAATTAATGGGATTTGATGAGAATGAAAGTGGTTAGGATTAATGGGATTCTTGAATCTCTTGTTTGGCGTATGTTTATGGGGTTTCAACCTTTTTTTTTTTTTTTTCCTCATCTTACTAAAATTAAAGTGCAAGGTGATGATGATGATGAATGTTAGTTCCCTAAGCTTTGTTCTTATATATGAAAGTAGTAATTAAGTAACATTGTCTGATATATAGATTCGATCGATCTTGATTATATAGTATCTTCTTTCTCGATCTGTTGTATTTCAAACCTGCAGATTCCAACTTCTCTCTTGATTTTCATTTTTCTTTCTTTTTTGTTGAAGGAATGAAATAATTAAAATAAAAAATCATGAATAGTTTTTGACAGTTTTATTAATCAAATGGGTTTTTGAGTTGCATGATAAAAGTATGTGAATATATATATTTTTTTTTTCGAAAATTATGAGAAAAGAAAAATACATATGGACCTTAATTTACCCCATGAAATAAATTAAACCTCTACCTAAGGGGGTAGAGGCACATAATCATAATTTTATTTTAATTTCAATTGTCAAAATATTTTTGGGTCAGTTTTTACTTATTTTGAGGATAATTTATCTCTATTTCAATAAAAGATATACTATTTATGTCAAAACTGAAAATTTTATAAAAAATTATATTTTCAATTTTCCCTAAAAAATCAAACCTTACCTAACAAGTATACATAATTGCAGCTGTTTTCATTAAAATAAGACAAAAGAAACTGTCGAGAGAATAATAGGTATTGTAGTGCAGTTCATGTCCTTAATTTTACCATATGACCTTGGCTTAACGATAGCACAACCATGCATATACATGAGATACTATAATTTCTACCAACAAGAGTTTAGTCAATACATTCTTTATTTTAAATTTGAGCAAATATAAGTATATCATCATTTATATTTTATTTTATGTCTTTGTTTTTACATTTAGATTTCAAATTATGTTTGTCTTTTTTAACTTGTAGGGCACATGCTTAAGACACCTTGTTAATATTAATCGGCATTAAGTATTAAGAGTTAACTTTTATTTAATCATTTAATTAATTAAAATAAACCATATAATATTTTTTTTGTTATTTTTAATATAAATTAATATAAAAAAGATGTATAACTACATACTAAGGGCAAAAATTGAAAAAATCTTTTAAATTATTATTTATAATTTATGAAAAACCATCTCAAGCCACTCTAAGTAATCTTGAATCAAATTTTAGTGATGTCTAAAAGTGATTTATTTCTCGATCACCATAAATCACCTTAAATTTGAGGTGACACAGTGTTAAATTTTATGATTTAATACTTTTGCCAACACTAATTTAGAAAGGCTATAACCAGACCAAAAAGACTGAAATTTACTAATGAGCTTTTTTTAGAGTTTATATATAATTATTTTTATAATTGTATCATATAATTTCTAGAAGAAATTATGCGTATTACAAAAAAGGAAAAAATTATGCATATTAAAGTTTTACTCGATGTCAAGTTATGCAGGTATTTATTAAGTTACACCCAAGGGATTTAACACCACACAATACGAAGATTAAAGGTCAAAGGAAGGAACTTGAGAGTTGAAACCTCGTGTGGCCTGGTACTAACCGGAGTAAAATATTCCAATATGGATCTTCTCTTTTCTGCTTCAAGCAATGCATCTCTCAACCTCAGACTTTATATATAAATACAGTCCATGAAATTTCTCCTTGTCTCTCAGTTCTTGCTTTCTTTCTTTTGTATGATAAAACCAAACAAACAGTTTTTAACATTTCAATTAAAGCTAGCCATGAGCCAAACCATAAATAAAAAAATTACTCCATAAATTAATGTAAACTGACTATATATGTACATGCCTTGGGTTTCAATTGGTTTCCCGAAGCAAAAATAATATCTTCCTGGAAACCTTGGTGCCAGTCATGGTTGGAAAAGTTGTTGGTTTGAAACCTCGCCATCTCCTTCATTCTTATCATTTCAAGATTACAGAGAGCTCATCAAATGGACATTGATTGCATTTTGTAATTTAAGAGTCGATCAGAATATATAACTCAATACCACAGCCTCTTCTGTCAAATCTTCGATAAAATCCCTAAAGTAAGGTATCTTCATTTGATCATTATAATAAAAATTACTTCAGCAAAATGATCTGCTCCAACAACACCAAATGCTACTATTTTGGCTCCAAATCTAGCAGCCATCCTCACAAACTCTCGGACTTTTCTGGCCAAAATAACTTGTATACTTCACCCTAGAAAAATTAATTAATAAACAATATAGCAAGTAACTTCTAGTCCCAGTAACGTGTGATAACCAACGTACAGGACGGGTCCCTCCAATGGAACCCAAGCAAGACCCTTCGCCACCTTCCCATCCTCAGTAGTTGAGACTTGAGAGCATCACAGGGCTAAGGGCAGCATTTAACCATCTATCTAGGAACAAGTCAGTTGAGAAATCCAGAATCAAGACTTATATGTGATGGCACTGCAATTCAAACATATATAAAATTCCTATGATGAGCACAATAAGTGTCAGGTTTGATTGTCATCAATATTCCACTAATTAATCTTTGATCTAATAAGCTCTTCTTCTTGACACAACGATAAGCTCTCGTTATTCTGCACCCTACTCACGACAGAACACAACTGGTATGTCTCTAGCCTTTTGGTACATGATTGACATATGCTTTGTCCAAAGATGCTTACCTATTTGATTCATATAACTTCTTGAATTCAGCAGGTGTAAGTGGCATGTAATCTGACAACAGTCATGGTATTTTCCACAACAATAGAAGCTAGTTCCCTTGATGATTGTTACCAAATCAATGCCATCTTCCTGCATGAGGGGTCAAAACAACTATTTTGTAACATCACAAAACCGTATAATCAAAGATGACAACTAGTGTAAAAATGATGCAAGGAAGGTAGGGGTAGAACAAACAGAAACTAAGAACTCTGTAAAATTAAGGATGGAACCAAGAAAACTTATGTTTTCAACCTCAAGTTTATTCTCAAACTAAAATCTCATAACAAAAACTGTCCTTAAATCTAAGAAGAATAACTATATATACTAACAATAGCCAAGAATCCTAATTCAATTCTAATTTGAACTTCTAACAAATTATGAACTCCTAATAGGCTACTGATTCTAATTCTAATTAAAAGTCACATGCCATCCACATGACTTTCCTAAAAGTAAAACTTAGATTTCAAATAAAACTCAAACTAAAACAAGTAATTAAAAAAAAAACTTCATGCTCCCGCATCATTCCCCCTAGGTTGGAAATTTAGCTTGGTTCAAATTGAAAGACATTATCTAGACCAAATTTTCTCAATTTTCCCTCTGCAATCCAGGTGCTGTCAAATGTATATTTATCTGGAGCAGCTTTCTTCCATAAAGTCCTCCAAAAATGTCCCTTAAACTTTACACCCCTAAAACAATCAATGGATGTTGGAATTTGTCGTAGTCTCACCACTTCCTCCAAAAATAAATCAACAACTTGTGTGGCAACCGAAATTTTAGAACAAAGAAAGAAGTCTGCCTTTTTTTTGTATAATTCAAACTTGCAGGTAGGCAGATTAATTAAACTTGCTGCTGGAATAAAATCAAAGCCATGTTGAATATTCAACATTGGCATCATCCCTTCTGGTAGTTCCTTATTTTCTGACCCTTTAATCTCTTCTAATAGCTGCAGGTTTTCATTAGGTTGCATAGAATTTTCTCCTTTTTGTTCTTCTCCGGACAGCTTATTTAAAACAGCATGTATGACTCCTGCCTCTTGACTTTTAGCATCAAATTTCTCAGCAGACGCGTAACCAATTATCTTGATGTCAGCTAGAGAATTTTTTTTTTTTTTTGATCATCTCCCCTTAAAGAATGACTCCTCCAATCTTGTCCCTCTTCTTTAGTTATTGCCATCATTCCTTGAATCATTAAAGATTCTTCCTGAATTGAAAGAATGTCCACTTCTTCAATTTCATCACAATAATCATCATCATAAATTGGTTCTGAAGTGTCACCAAATTCCTCTTCAAACTCAGTTAGGTTCACCTGACGTTGGGGACAAGCATAAGAGTAGTGTCCCCTTCCTCCACAACTAAAACACTGAATTTTTGAATTGCCTGCTTGATTGTTGGAACTAGATGCTACATTCTTACCTTTGTCAATGGCCCCACTGGTTTTGTTTATGATGGCAGTCCCTTGACCTTTATTATTCCGTTGAAGATTATCACTTGTTCGAACAAACATAGGTCTGTTGGCACCATAACGATTTACCCTCTTCTCTGCCATTAGAGCATATTGTCAAGCATCTTCAAGGTTATATAGTCAAACAATCCCTACTTCATCTCTAATACTCTGATTCAGACCAGCTAAATATCTTGACATTGATTGCTCACCAGTTTCATTCAACCCAATCCTTTATGACAAGTTGTTGAATTCTGAAGTATACTCTTTTACTGACATTCTGTTCTGTTTCAACATATGAAATTTTTCGTACAGCTCCATTGCATAATCTGCAGGCAAAAATTGTTTCCGCATCTTTGCTTTCACGTGTTCCCAGGTGCTGATTTTTGGTTTGCCTTGTCGAGAACACTATTCTTCAACTCTCTTCCACCGTTTAAGTGCAGCTCCTTTCAACTTCAGCTTCACAAAAATCACT